GTGTATCGCTGTCAGTTCGCGGTGATAAAGCGGATGTCATGACTTGGATGTCATACAAGTATTTTGCCGGGAACGTCAACCACCCGATTTTAATGGCATTCGCCGTCTACCTAGATGATTTTTATAATTACAAGAAATTATCAGAATCGACGGTGGCGAGATTTTTCAAGATGATTTTTCCGAATTTAGTCAAAACTGCGTACGCGCTATTTCAAGCCAAAAGCATCCGCATACATAACGCGTTAAGGGACAAGTTTCAACAGTATCAGGACAGCGGCCAGGAGAGTTGTAGTGGGTCAATCAAGATATGTATGAGGTGCTGAACACGGACTGCTCTGATTATTGGACGGTGCCTCGGTGGCTATGCAATATTTGGTACAGCCAACCTCACATTGAACCTAGCGTCAAGTTCTGGTATTCCAAGCTTGTCTTCTTCTAGTGTGGTTTTCACCTTCAACAGGCACGACAGGCTGACGAACCCCAACTCTACCAACCCCGTTTTCTTATTAGGATCAAGATTACCTAAACGGATTTTGGCGCCGGGGCCGCGGCCTGCGGCGGCCGCTCGCGGGCCGCCGCGAGCGCTTCTGTCAGTTGCTGCTTCACTATCTCTGTAATGCTGGCTGTTAACGTTACATTATTCTTGTCCAGCATCGTCTCGAAGTCTCGCTCGTTGGTCGCATCTCGCGTATCCAACATGCTCTGGACCTGTGCCATAGTGACAGGAGCACTCAACTCCTTGTCATTCACCCGAAAATCACCCACGACTTGGTCAGGTGCCCGCTCCTCGTCACAAATCGACAATTCGACGCCCGTCTCCACAGCCCGGTTCTGAACAGCTTGCGACAGCGCCGCCACAGCTGCTTCAAAATCAGGAAACTCAACTAGCTGCAGATGATTCTCACGCACCAACTGGTGCACCACCCGACCAGTGTAATCTAGCTAAATAAAACTGCTGGTGGTGGTCTCTCCAGCTCGCTGCTTCCCGGGGCCCCGGGGACCGGGGTGGCACGTTTTTTTTTTTAGCCCTCCTTCGGCGCANATGAAGCACCCGCCAGGGCTGCCCTACCCTCCTCGGCACAATATTTT